CTTGCGGAGCTTGTCCCTACACAAGAAGCCATAGATCAAGAGCAAGCATCTTATGCTTGAGAGTATCTAGTTAGGTAGTCATAATGAAAACCTGTGCTATAATTGAGAGATCAACTCATCTATATATCGGCTTCTCGGGATTCTTTTATTCTTACCCTAGAGTAATAGCCAGGCCATACTTCTCTTCATGGTTCGTTCATGGCTCAAGATGGTACAGCACGCTAGAGTACGTGGCGCCATGTCTAAGAGCGAGTATCCACCATGGCGCACACCGCGTCCTCATAACCATTGTTTCATCAACTGGTCTCCAAGCCCCGTTGGCTCAGTGGTAAAGCGTATCACTAGTAATTCAACGACATGATAAGATCACTGGTTCGATTCCAGTACGGGGCATCACAATCACCAAGCGATCAGATTCATCTGATCGCGCTCTTTTTGCGCTTCCGTATCAAAAGTTGGTGGGTGATGCTTTGTGGTGGTGTTGAGGTTTGATTACCCTTTTTGTGTGTTGCATTGGAACGGCTCGGCACGTGCGACCTTATCTGGCTTAAGGTTGGTGCGGGATGACGTTGGGACTGCGGGGTGTGCTCCTTGACATCGGAAGTAGCGGAGCGTAGATAAACAGATAAACAGATAAACAAATGAATATGTACTTGTCTTAGATTTAATGGAGAGGGTCTGGTTTTATTGCTAACGTGTACTATCATAGGTCAAATTACTTCTTTTTGACCTTTTATCCATGTATTGTACTTGCGTCGCTTCTTTTGATTTGCACCTCTCACACCCTTGACATTGATACCCTTTTTATATCCATGACTTCCATCGTAGATGTAAATGGTTATCTGGCGAGGGTCAAGTGATCAATGATCCCTGTTTCCGTGATAATAACATCGTTGTGTTCGGCGATGTACTCAACCCTCAAGACCTTGGGAAATATTGACCATCAACGAGAGACCAGCTGTTCCTGGGTCTTCTGACCACAAATTTCTTTTTGGGATTGATCTTGTCGCCCCAAACTCCCAGCTTAACCCAATGTGACTAAGATTACTCAGTCTTCCTTGGTTTTCGTTGAATCCGAGAATCTCTCTGCTCTGGCCAACAGCTACCGTCTATTGCGCACCGTATGTGAGTGCGTCACAGAGACTGGCTTGGTCCTGACAGTTTCCCAGATGGCTTAGGTGGGAACTTCCAGGACCGTAATGACTGCTCACTTTATTATTTTGGTGCTCTTCGTCGACTTGAACGAGAAGTCGAATGACAAAACAGAGCGAGCGTGATGTTAGTATGCCTCCCGCCTTGCCAGCGCTTGTCAGGGACAAAACTCGGTGATTCTGCTTGAGATTAGACCCAGCACCAGCCAAAATCAGTCGGAAGTGGTTAAAAACCTCCCTGTAACTAGTCCTGGCACAACAGCTTTGATTGAAGCATGCGAAGGGATGGGAGGTATATATAGAGAGTTTTTTTCCACGTTGTATCTACCTTCTTCCGATTCTACCCAGAAGGGTATGTTTCTTTTTTTTTTTTTGTGTGCGATGCGGATGGTGAAACCCGGATCCCCCTTCTGAGGCTGCGTGCTCCCGACTTTGGCGTGCTGACCGCAATGTTTCTTGCCGCCGACGATACCAATTTGCAGGAGTAGTTGAAGTCCCTTCTCGGAAGTGATTTATATATTGGGCATATGATCGGGGATCGGCTCCCCAGGCGACGCATTCCAGCAACATTGACAGTAGGGGAGAATAAGAAGCCTTCAATGCCTTGCCAACAGCTGCGCCTGATTCAGCATAACATTGATCCCGGTGTCCTCATCCGGGTTTTCTTGGTCTTTATGGCCAACATCGCTGCCCATAGACCACTAACTGATTTTGCCAATTTGCGGATACAAGTACGATACAAAGTTATGTATCCAAGCTCTGCGCCTGCCGACTCGTCAAGCAATCTCTGCCATAGAATAACAACAATGGAAGAGCCATGCTGCTCACATCCATCGTAGTGGGAGTCGATTCGCAGGCAACGAGTACCACTGACCCCAATCCTAACTCGCAGAGCTCATCAAATCTTGGACGAGGACGTTTTATATTCCCTTTAGATCTCATAACCCATCGGGCCAACGATCGAAGCAAGAAATCTCCAATCGATGTCGGGGAACCGGCCTAGGACCTACTATACATAAGCCTGCTTCACTTCAGCGACCGGCTCAGGTGCTCTGGTGTCCATCGTTGCTGATTTCTGGTTAGTTTTCTTGCACGTGCGGTGTTGCCAACTTCAGGTTGGGGATCATAGATGACCCTCTCAACCCCTTTTCTGCTGCTCTTTTTGACCAGCAACACGCTCCACGCACGCCAGTTCCGAGTATGTATCTCCATGTTTGCACCAAATGGGCTGTTAACTGGGATGTGATGACAAAGAAACTGTCCTGTCTCCCTTTCCCGAAAGGGCAGCAAGCCGCCGAGAGGAACTATGATCCCCGTTTCCGAGATCATACCTAGCCTCTTTCCGTTTGCTCTTTGATGGCTTCGACTGCGTTCTTGACAAGAAAATCAATCAGCTCTAGGGCTAAATTTTCCAGCTTGAGACACGCTATCTCGAGCACTATATATAATGATAGGTAAGTGACAGAGTAGAGCCGAGGCAAAAAGGATCGTACGTGAAGAAGTACGCATCGGCGATGTACCACCACTACAGGAGCCACAAGACTCATAGGCCGGAGTGGTGCACTTCTCCTTTATTTTTAATGCTCAGAGTTGTCATAACAGACTCTGTCGATGATAATATAGGTTCAAATATTTGTTCAGAGGAGTAGTCATCATGGAACTTCTTCTCCCACCGTGCTACCCTTCTGAAAGAGATAACTTAGGAACGGCCGAATTTCCTAGAGATCATAGCAGAGTGCTTATTTGCGTGTTAGATATATCTAGAGGTAGCGCATCAAGTGTGTGCGAAGTCTGGGATACTGAAGTAAAGTCTTTATGATCGCCTCACACTCAGGTAATGATGAGACCTTATCACTTGGTGCATATAGCAAACTACTAGATGCATCACGGAACCGAGGAAATGTCTTTTTTTCGCTCGCTACTTTGATTACTGCCTGGTGTCGAGTGTGCGAGACCCTGGGGGGAAACCCCTGGCGCTGTCTGGATGACGATGAGCATCGACATCGACATCGAGTAGAATGCGACAATTTGGCTCGTTCTTTTGGAGCGTCCGATTCAGTCTTGACGGTAGGTGTATATAAGTTGGGAGATTCGACTGGCTTGACGCACGCCGTAGAGAGCCTGCAATTCTTATAGTACCACAGGGTTGGCAAGGCGGTTCCGAAAACGGTCCTGCCACGAAAGCCAGACCGAAATACCGGGAGGCTTCCTCAGCCTGGGCTATTGGTGTATCTATATCCATTGATGAAAATCAATGACTCTCTGGCAACTGCGACCCCTTTTCGCCATTCGATTGGAAATGGGAGATGGTATATAAATGTTCTTGAGGCTGCACAGAAGACACCAAAGCTTGTCATGGTCTGCTGGTGGTGAAGATGGGCTCGTGTCCTCGTGGCAGATTGCGCAATCAAGGACATAAGCTGCCAGGGATATGTCAGGATAAATACATCTGTTGCAAAGAGCAGGCCAGGGGATATCCTTGGCCAATAAAGAGCCCCTCTAATAGGCGCAGTAGGAGAAGAAAGCCCGTGTCTGGAGTGGGTGAAGTATATACGAAGATAGCGAAGAATTGCATTCCACGGCCCGGCAAACCCAATTTCATCAGTTTCCACAAGGCCAAAGAGACAGCGGTGACTTGAGCTGTCGCTCATTCTGAGGCGAGCCGCAACGTGTCCGCGGTTGCGTGAAGCGGGCCGGCTCAGGCTCGTGGCTTGGTCGTTGGAAGGATGAAGTTCCCTGCGACCGACTGTGTGAAAAACAGCAAGGTCGATGTTGTGACATGATAGGTAAAAGTTGAAAATATATATAGGGCAATGAGTTTATACAGAGCTTTCGGCAACCGAGCCAAGTCAAATTGAGGTCCGTCCCAGGCAGGTAGCCAACAACATGTCGAGTTATACCGCTTGGGCTTCGTACAAGAGTGTCTGCCATCAGAGTTATTTTTGTATGAAGCGCAGGAGGGAAGTATGAGCTTAGGCTCCCGTGATCGAAAGCCGCACGCGTCGTGTACTTTATGATGGGTTCTCGAACCCCACTAGTAATAATAGATCTGATTGCTCGTGTGTATTCAAAAGGGAGGTTGCGTGCAAGTATAGATTCAAGGGTGATGATCGCATCAAAGGGGCCCGGAGGATGACAGAGTTGAGACCTGTTGCAAGGGTCTGGGGTCTCTCATTGCATTGACGCAGGAATTCCTGCCCTCTTAGCTTCCATTATGTCTCATACGGGAATGTCCCTTTTCGCTGTTCGGTGACTGTGGTGGTTCCCGGGTCCCCTCGGGTGAGTGGACGCCCGAGATTTTCTTTTATGGGCTTACGCGAGATATCCTGCGAGCTAGAGAGTAAAGGGAGCCTGGCTTAGAGAGTTCTAATGGAGTGCTATATGAGTGGGCTGAGAAGGGGGCTATAATATAATGTATTGCACTTTTTGCAAATTATGGTGATCGTATTAGGGAGAGAAGGCGAACTGGAAAAGGGGAAGACGCGGACTATTTATACCCACCAAGTTTTCTTAGCTCTTGTTCATTTATTCCTGTTTTCATTTTGTGTCGTGCTATCCTTTGCCATGTTGAAATGCTATTTAGCAACATTCGCCAACACGTTAACAAGCATCACCAAGGACAGTTTGTCAAGCCATCAATCTTAGTTTTCTCTTCTAGAACGCCGCGCTATGTACAATCTGTCCATCATCTCCTCCTAAGAAGCAACTCTATCAAGAAAATCCCAGTCAAGCACGGTCCCCAAGTAAACAGCGACGCTGATCCATGGTAGGAGAAGGCGGCTGCGCCTGTACGCCCGTTGAGAAGCAAGCTCTGCCTAGCCTCTCTCAATTGTTCCCCGTCCGAGACAGCTACATCCTGTTCCGACCTTGGGCAAACCCAGTGAACGTGATTTCAGAAAGTCTTCTGGCCGTGTCCAGCATGTCTTCTGCTGTCGCTCGATAGTAGGGGTTCATAATTGCCATCTCTCGGAACCGTCCAAGCTCCGCCCCGTTGGCCGCCTCCCTGACTGCCTTGAATACTTGCTCACGAGGATGCATTGGCTTCCGCTGAAAGCCGGACGCATTCATGGCATACGCTAGGGTAACAAAGAGAGACCAGATGTCCATCTTGACCGTCTGGGGCCACTTCGAGTCCTGATATAGTTCGGGCGCCATGTACATTTTGGTACCAGCATACGTCTGGGCGTTGACCACCGTGTTGGCAAGGCCAAAATCTGCAAGCTGGTATAGATATTTCCCATCCGATAACGGTGTAAAGAGAATGTTGAGGGGTTTGACATCCCGGTGAATCATGCCTTTTTTGGCAAGGTAGTCAAGGGCCTGTAGCATCTGGAAGGCGAGTGAAAAGGCGGCATTTGTATTTCTTTCAAAGAGGTGATTTCCCTTTATCAAGTCTTGGACGCTTCCGGGTTTGAGTTCCATGAAAATATCGAAATACCCGTCGTCTGCGAATTGGGACGTTATGTATGTTATGATGTTCGCCTGGTGCTGTTAGCTGACGCTTCACAGGACTGAACTCGCTTGGGGTTCTTACATGGGAAACACTAGACAGCATGTGGGCCTCTTGCTCCAGTGAGGAGTATTCGTCGAAATGGTTATGAGACATCTTCAGCCGTTTGACAGCCAGATGCTTGCCAGTATCGACATCGGCGACCTTCCAAACCTCACCAAATGCTCCCTTTCCGAGCTTCTTTCGTTTCGAGTATCTGATCATCCCCCAAATGCCAGCAGCATGAATTCCGGTATATAGGGGGGATGGCCCGCTTGTCGGTGGCTCGTCTGCGATGGTGCGAGCATGGTGGGGATTGCCTACTCTGTTGTCGTCACGCTGGTCATGCCAAAAAATTTGGAGCTGATACAGATCGTGGTTCGGACCACCCATACTAAACTGCAGATTAATTTCCCGGTCGACAAGGACTCTGCGGTCAAGGTGTCCCTCCTTGAAGGGCTTCGCTGTCCGCCCGTAAGGCTGAGTCGAGTTGTCCAGTGATCGGTCTTGGAGGATTACCTCCTCCCTGTTGTGTTCGTCAAGCTCGAAAGAGCAATGGTAAGGCGAGATTTCAAGATCGTCGAATTTGATGTTACCTACACGACCGAGAATGGCAAGAGTGTCGTTTGAGCCTGATGCGATCTGGGGCCCGATATCTAGCCCCTGAACCTTGACAGTCGGGTTGTCGCTGTGAAGAGGGAAAGACGAGACAAAACGGTCATTGTCCCGGTAAGTGAGAATGCCTATGGCCCTGGCATTCAAGGGCACGAGCGAAAACAAAGCTTGGGGATGGGGGGGTTGGCCGGGAGGCATTGCGAAGGGTGGTGTCTCCCATGAGAGTGCTGGAACAAACAAGTTTGACGAAAAAGGTAATGGTGGCAGGACATTTAACTTTTAAAAGACCACCATGAGCACCCAGCTTGTCGCCTTGGTGCCTGTTGGGACCAGAAGCCCCTGACCCCATTGCGTGTTTGCAAGATTTCTTTGTTCTTTCTGGTGGCGCGTTTGAGCCCCCCTTCTAAGCCCCCTTTCATTCTCTCACCGTTCACAGCTATGCAAGCTACCGGTGTCTTGGCAACATATTCTTTGTCTCTCCTCTACTATACATTACCTGGCCTCTGACCAAGTTTGTTTGCACAATCTGACATGTCTCATCAACATTATGACCATGTCGTCGTTCCTCAGCAACACTCCGTCGCCCCCGGGCCTTGAATCCCCTCAACAGCAACCAATCGACCCCAAACAGCCAGGGCCAGCTGAAACCACACAGTCCCCAGTCTCCAGCGCCCAGGCCAACGATCGATTCGCGTGGATACAGCACTGGAGGCGAACTCACGGATCATCGGCGTGCCATCAGTTCCACACTCAAGCTAGATGGGAGCAAGACAAGCTCGAACACCAGAGAAGTTATATGGGCCGCCGAAGACAGACGCAGCCATGGGATGACTCTTTCAATATTCGGGGTAACGCCTACAACAACGTTCGAAACAGTTGGATAGAACAGGGCATCTGGAGGAAAGTATGGGATGAACCCTGGGCTAAGGAAAGAGATGTCGGATTGTTCGATCAATCCCCTCACTCCCTCAAACCGGAACCGACTAAATCGCAGCCAGGCTCTCGATGGGGCCATGAGGATGGAGGTCCGCCGCCAGACAAAGAGTTCGAGCGCGACCCTTATCGAACTATTTATGCTCCTAGGGCTAGGCTGGGAGGAATGTCTCTAGATGAAAAATGGTATGTCGAAGGATCCATACCGGGCCCCGATTTCCCGGTTCCGAAGCCCAGGGCTCGCAATTCTGAAGCATCTCGTCCCTACCGCCAGTTCTTGTATCAGATTGCCAAGGAGCGTGAGTGGATAAAAGATGAGATGGACTTTCACCGTGCGTTTCGCCCATACAACCTCGATCTCGATTCCATGGCCTACAAAACTGTCAAGCACAACTGGATCTGGGGTCGCATCTGGAAACCCGAGTGGGACAAGCTACCGGGGAGTACTTGGGCTCATGAAGATCCCCTCCAAGAACAGGATAGAGAGGGGCCCGTTGGCACTGTTGATAAGTCGAGTGAACAGCCGAGCACTGTCATTCATCGCCCGTACAAACGGGTGAGCGAGATCGTTGATGACTGCGCGAAAATTCCACTCTCACAACGACGTGATCCCTTTACTCAGGAATTGCTATATCCTGAAGTCATACCAGGCTCCTCCGACGACGTAATTGAAGCTATCCCAGGCGGGGCTATCTCAGGCCAAGCCCTCGATTTCACGTACCAGCCCGCCATCGCTGACGGCACAAACAACCTGGACCAGGCTTCTAAGGACCAAAAGGGAACCACCAATTCGCCGCAGGGGGAGACTCGTGGCAGCGAAGATGGATCCCTGTTTGGCCCAACTCTTCGCCCCCAGGTGCAAATCCAACCCCCTGGAAGCCATGGCGAGTCATCTAAGAGTGGCGGGAAACAGAAACGCGCCAGAAGGCAAAGCGATGAACTTGACGAGCAGCCTCCAAAACGGCCGAAGCATACCCATCAACACTCTGTTCCCTCTTCCCGGGAAGTGCCAGGTCCTGCTGGTACGGACAATGAAGCACTTACCCCGAGAGACGTCATCACAAAGGGTAAGCAGGTAGCCGAAGGGGAAGCTTTGGGAGCTGTCTCCAACCCGCGACGACCTAGCCCTGGGATTACAGAAGGGGGAGGACAACGGGCTTCCACAGCTGCGGCAGAACAGCAAGGGGGTGAATGGAGCTTTGGGCCGCCGAGACCTGGAAAGCGAAGCCGGCCAAGACAAGCCGATCAGAATGACACTCCGAGAATTGCAAAGAGACAGAAGAAGAATGGCAAGCATGGTCGAGGTAAAAAGTAGGGAGGCGGTATCAAGTGCGGAAGTGTGGAAGAGGTGGGCTTTTGAGGAGCTTTGTTCTTTGGAGAGGTGGGCTGGTTCAGGATGCTTGAGGTTCATTATCTTAAGTTCGGGTCTTGCAGGCGTTTGTCCCTTATTTGACCGTATTCCAGTTTGTCATGTTTATCTATTTAGTGAATTGATTAGTTACCGTTCTACTCAGACACAGAGCGCAGTCTACCTAGGAGCCCCCAGTCATCTAACACCACTCTACAGACCTTTTACGACTTCAACGATGGGTATGGTTAAGGAAGGCCCCGCCCGAGAGACGTGTGTACCTTTCTCAAAAAGACAATCTGCCTAGAACGGGCGTTCTTGACAACGAGGAGGAGGGTATTCCGACATCAAAAAGACGGGCAACGGGCAAAAAAGCAAGCTTCGTAGGATCGCCTGCCCCGTACTGGAATCGAACCAGTGATCTTATCATTACTAGTGATACGCTTTACCACTGAGCCAACGGGGCTTTACAGGTGATTCCTCGCTTGTTGAATGGCGGTTCAATATTGGTGTTGATAAATCCCGCACTTGGGTGGGGTAAGGGGCGAGCCCCTTTTCACGCCACATTCAGATGAGACCAGAGCCATGATATGAAATTGACTCCCAACGCAACGTCTTTGCTTGAAAGTAATTCTCATAACTTAAACTTAAACTCATGATCCATGAGCGAGAGTGCAATATGTTTGAAATGTTCTGAATGATTGCTATTAACCCCTGTATTAATCCTCCATGCTATCTACTCTAGGGTCCCTGTCTTTGCCCACATCGGAATACCATGAGTTCCAACTATTATATCCGCCTCTGAGTATCGGTCCAAATGAGTCTATCTATAACTTTTGAAGTCCTGTCCTTTTCCTGCTTTCATGAATCATAACCTTGCAATGCCCCTAAAACGAATCCCGTATAAGCAACCAAACTTTTAACCCAACAAACCATTGCTTTTCCTAAACAAAATCCTTGACAACATCGTAAATGCGAACAACCTTTACCTCAACCTCTGCACCCTTCCTTTCAAACGTGTCGGTATCCTTTCGCTCCTCCTCGTCTTGCCCACCAACAGCTTCCTCATTAATGCTCAGCTGATCCGAGGGTGTGGCGAAAACAGAAGGACTCTCAGTCTCGGAGAGATCAGACTCCAAGTCATCCTTCTTGGATTTGGGCTCCTCGACATCTTCGCAGCCAGCTTTTGGGAGCTTGATGAAAAAGTCCAGGACGAGAGCCAGGCATGCAAGACCGAAAGCAATCCAAAAGACACCCTTGTGTTGGGCCTTGAGATCCCAGCCCTTTGATTCAAACACACCGACCACCACGGCGATGATAGCAAGGAGGAATGCGCTGGCAAGGTATGAAGCAACAAAGATCAAGGCGCCTGCCAATCCAAGGAGATGGCGCGGTAGGGTCGAGGTCATGAAGACGTTGCCGATTGCCGAAAGAACAGAGATGCAGGCTCCCTCAGCCATGAGGGCCGGAAATACCCAAGCCCAGTAGCTAGGGTTGTTGGGCATGAGGGCGAAAAGTAAGATGGCGATGACCTTGGCCACTCCACAAAGGATGAGGATAATCTGGCCCGAGAGGATGTGGAGGAGGAGACCACTAGTGATGGACAAGATCATGCCACCAGCAGCCCATGGAGCAAACCAAACTGAGGCAGTCATGGGGTCCTTTCCAAGAACAGACTTGATACTGTTTTTGTTAGTCAAAGATCATAGTATGGTGAAAGGAGTCTTACTAAAAATTGGCGTAGAAGAGAAACACCGAGTAAACACCAAACTTCAAGGACAAGATGCCCAGCATCTTCTTCATGCCCTTGACCTGGAAGATCTCCGGTGGGACCAGAGGGGCAGAAGACACCCAACCCTCAACGAAAATGGCTGCAATAAGAAATGCGCAGCCAACGACGAGAGTTGCGATGATGTGCGGCGCGATCCAGCCATAGCGACGGCTATCCGTGATAGCATAGATGACCAGAAGAAGCCCGGGAACCATAGTGCCGATACCCCACCAGTCCATGACATTGCCTCCCTTCCTAGCCTCAGCATAGTCACGGGGCGATGCCCAAAGCGAGACGCAAACGGCGGGAGCCAAGATCATGGTAATCAGCCAAAAGTACCATCCCCAGGTGAGGTACTGCTGAACCATGCCACCACACATGGTCCCAAGGAAGAACATGACCGGGACCATGGCACCATAGAGGCTGAACACGAGATTCTTCCGGGGACCTGGGCGATAGGTGCGTCCGATCAAGGAGACGCCGGCGGGCAGAAAGGCTGCAGCTCCGAGACCCTGCATCGCACGGCAGAAGACAAGCATGAAGAAGGTCTTGCTAAAGCCTGTAATGATAGACCAGACAACAACCCATAGAATGCCCACGTGGAAGAGCAGATAACCTCCAAACATGTCGACCAACCTGGCGCAGGGGAACAGGAACGAGCCGGCTACCAAGGTGATGACACTGGAGAGCCATGTCTGAGAGTCCTGGGGGATGTTCAAGGCATCAGAGATTCCGGGAATAAGAATCTGGAAGCCGCCGACAAAGAATTCCTTCAACTCATTAGTCAAGCTCTACATATAGATGATAAGAAGCCTACCGTAGCCGCAAGAGATGTCACCATGGACGCGACAAATACCACCTCAGTCCATGTTGACTTGAATGCTTCAGGCCGCTGTCGTCCCAACCTCTCAAGGTCGAACTCTTCTGGGATCTCCTCAATGGTGATCCGAGTGTCTGGCTCTTTGGACTTGTTGTTGGGTACCATATCTCCAGGCGGGGTGCTATGTTAGAATGCCCGTAAACCCCTGAGGCTGGCAAATTGGTTTATCAAGGACCGAGTGAGAACAGAGGAGCCGAAGCAGCGGATGATAGACTGCACTCAGGAATATAAATATTACAAGAGAAATTTGCAACTATGCAAGTATCTGACGAGTTTGCGGAGGAGAATAGCGTTTCGGAGAGTCCTTATTGTGAGTCGACCGTTGAGATCGAGATGCTTAAGCTTCACTGATCCGTTTCTGATATCATCGTGATAATTGGGAGCCGCCATTCCATCTCTTTATACTCTCTACTATTCTGCTTGCTTTGGCCATGGCGTGGACCAAACTCGCGATATCGCAACACGTTGTGGGCATGCCATCTCGGTCTGGACGGACTTGACGATGCTTCCAAGGTCCGTGGAACGACGATTTCCAGGCCGTAGCGGTGAGATAAACGCAGAAGATGCTCTCTGCTTTCCTATTTTGGGGAGCTCCAGAGTCTGGCCTCGGGGCCATCTCCACCAGATGGCGACGCGTCGCCACAATGTGTCATATTAAGAAGATGGTGGGAGGAGCAAGGCGTCAATGTGTCATGGAAGCGAACCCAATAAAGGCAGGGGAATAACGGTGAAAGGGGAAGAGAAAAAATTGAACTATCGTGAAGTCCGTTGTCGCAATATTGTGGTGGAGTTGCGGAGGAGCATGTGGAGGTAGCTGGAAGGATGAGAAGTCAGGGCTCTGCCTCGTGGGCCAAGGAGACGATCACAAGCGCAAGCAAGCTTTGCTCAAACTAACAAACTACCTTCATGCCAGTCAGTTCATTTGCAGACCAAGCCGGACTTGATACGCCGAGGAGGGGACGGGGGGAGTTGTGATAGCAGAGCCGCGCTGAGTAACGCCAGCCACAGCTGCGAACCATGCCATGGGCAAAGAGCCATCAAGGCCTGAACTAGTCAGTGTCAGGCCTTGTTGTCCAGAGCCAAAAAGAAAAAGGCATCAAGCTCCTCATCGCAATTCTGGGTCCGGAGACGCGACGAGTGACAGCTGATTTCCTCTTTTGGCGTGGTTGTGTGCTCTGGCTGGACGACCTGGGCACAGCCCACAATGACAAGCTTTCTGCGAGCTCTGATGGAAGGTTTATGATGCAGGTCCCGGAGCTTCGGCTGCACGGTATGTCGTTTCCTTTCCGCATTGGGGCAGGACGGCATCGGCCGTAGTCGGGATTGCGAAGCGTCCCGTGCTGGAGGGTGTCGATGCTCGACAGGCCAGGGCGTCCAGGTTGGATGGCAAGCAAGCAAGGGCTTGCATTGCTGCTGGCGTGTCGCCAACGTGGGGCGGCGGCTCTCAAAGAGGTTGCGGAGAACAAAGCAGAGCTAGGCGAGGGGTGAGGCGAGACGGACGATACCTGGGATCGACTGGCATTGGTACGTTGTTAGTTGACGTGAGGTGATTACATACAACGTTATACATGATCGCATCGTGAACCTCCATTGGAGTCGAGTCATGGGATCTGATGCGTGCCTGCACCTGCCCTAGAAAGGTGATAGTGATAGAAAAAACGTGCCCGATCTTGGATCTTGGTTCATTTTGGTTGCGCCTGCCGTCTAAGGTCATCCATTCATTCCTTCTCCAACTTGAGGAAAGTTCTACCTGCCTGCCTACCTACCTACCTACCCCTCCACTTGTTCCCCTCCATCTGTTCCCGCTCCCCTCTTCTTTCTCCTCCACGTCTTCCACGACACGCTACCATTTCTTCTATCGTCATCATCATCGATTCTCTCTTTTGCATCATCCACTTCTTTCTCATCCTCCCCTTGTTTACCTCTATCCGCGACCAGACCAGACCATCATGAACCTTCTGTAGTCTCGAGCCCCCTCGTTGCTCTCAACCGCTGTCCGCACCGAAAAGAGCCCGCCCTAGCTATCTGGCTGCTCAGTCAGCGCCCGGCGCATGCCGCCAAGCAACACCAAACCGTGTCACAACTGCCGTCGTCGACGCCTGCGCTGCGACCGCTCGTGGCCGACATGCCACAAGTGCGCAGTCTCGGGGCAGGAATGCCTCGGGTATGGCAAGGTCTTCGTCTGGACACAAGGCATTGACTCGCAGGGCAATGTCAACCCGCCGCCCGGTCGGAGGATACCCGATGATGGGGATGTTTCCGGTTCCTCCTCTCTCAGTGTTTCGCCGTCTCCTCCGGGCCAACAGCCGGGTCATGGCCTGCCCCGTCCCCAGCCTAGGCCGGATCCCAGTGACCAGCACCCACTGGCCCAGCTAGTCCAGAAGGCTAGAGAGCAGGCCGCCCAGCAGATGAACCGGCAACAGTCTCCCCAGGCCGACTCGCCCTTGCAACCACCGGGAGCTCTAACCGATCCACTGTTCCAGGACCTCGACCGCACCTCACGATACTATCTATCCCACTGTCAGTCCACCCAACAGTGGCGTTTCCCCTCTCATCTTTGTCAGTCACGCTAACGCATGTGCCAGTTTCTGAGAGGGTCTG